GACATCAACCCACAAAATGCACCAGGTTTGAAAATTATGTTTCCAAATCCAGTAAGAATATATTTCCTGTGGCATCCATTTAGGCAGAGCTTGGCAATGCTATTTTTAAAGACCAGAACTCACAGCATCCTTTGGAGATTGAAGAGCTATAGTTTGACACATGATACACAACACAGAACCACCACGCCCAACCCATCCTTTGAAGCTTTGAAGGTAGTCACTGTTTTACAGTGGTGTCATAGATCAATGGAAGCCCAAATGGAGATGCTATCTTATGTATGAAAGTTTACCTTTGTTTATGTGTGCAACAAACTGCATTTTACCAGGTCAATCTGTTTGTCTATCCAGTCAGTAATTTTTGCTCTGACTGGCAGCTGGCAAAGGAGAAACCAAGAAAATTCCCCCCTCTAGCAGTGTGCTGTGTTTTGTGTTGGCCCTTTTCTTCCAGCAAATTGCTTTATATGTGTATCAGCTCCTGGAGAGAGACAAAACTTTCTGTCTTTCCTCCAGCAGTTCAGTCACTTCCTTTAATGGAATTCCATGCACCCACTTGTATCAATGTCTTGCCTCTCTGGCAACTAAGGGTGTAAGCAGACAGCTGATAGCACCGAAAGGGTTGCTTTAATGGAAGCCCTACAAACGGATCAAAAACCTTGAGCATGAAAAAAGTTGGGCTGGAGTGCATTTCCCTGTGTATCATGTGATTGCTGGGAAATAGATTGCATTGAACAGCACTACAGTCAGTTCAAAGTGTGATATATTTCCCAGTGTAATCACACCCTACGTGAGGAATAAAACTCAAAGCTGCTACAGCTGTAATCAAATTTAGCTTCTGCTATTATTTAAGGGAACTGCCTGGATAGCTCAGTAAGTTAGGTAACTGGCTGCGAATCCAGAGGTTGGGAGCTCAGTTCTCCACTGTGCATCCTGGAGGAGTTCTGCAGATATAGTTATGCAACAGGATTTCAGCCACTATCTTTATCCCTCTCCTTTCAAACCTCAGCTGTTTCGCTGTGTTTTATAAAAATACCAACTATGTGACATCACTCTTCAATAGTTATTCGCAGTGGTCTAAATCTCATATAGTGTCCTGGTGTTGAAGCAGCACTACAATAAAATTTTATTTCACCTTCCCTCCCCCTGTAATCTTCTCATGACTCAAAACCTATTCCAGGGACAGTTCTGGAAGTACACAGGATCTGCAGGGACATGTGTATTTCTACAATATAATACCAGCAGATTCCTGTATTTACCAAGATTTATAGTAACCAGAGGCCAGTGTGGTATGAAGCCCAACAACTTGGTACTTCAAAATTTCTGTTATTATTTGTATAACCAATGAACTGCTGCATTTTAGCTTAATGTAGTTATCTTAATTTACATGGCACTTCGCAGTGACTCTGTGACATACTTTTTGTGACATACTTGCACCGAGGTATAAGGTCAATAAAGTCAACATAGATGTCTATGCATATTTTCTTCCATCAACCTGAGCATTTGGGAAAAAAATCTTCCATTTACAACCTAGCTGGCTTGGATGATCTTTCCTCCCCACCCCATGCTGGAGTCAGCTCGTTCTGCAGTATAGAACTTGCTATATCAAGCCATTTCTTCATGTGGGCTTTAGCAAGAATTACAAGATTACTAATACATATAATCCATGAAAATTTATATTAAAATATAATAATTGGGTGTACAGAGGACAGTCTGCTAGAGGGGACAAACCACTTGCATGATTGCCTTTGAGGCTGAGCTCTGTATTTCCTGAGCAGGAATCTAGCCCTGGAGTACAGGGTGAGGAATACTGATCTACATGTTAGCCTCAACCTTTTTTCACGTTGTGTAATGATCTTGAAGGCAAGGGCTTCTCTAAACTTTTGGACTTGTTCAAACTGCCCTCATTCTACAGTATTTCCATACTGAGGTTGCATCCATATTTTCTTTAATTACCTATTGGCTTGATTGTGAAATAGCGAAAATCTATGCCTGTTGTTCACATGATTTTTGGATGAAAGCATAGTTTCTTATATTTTCTGCATATTGCTCTGTATTTTCCTTATGTGCAAGATTTCATGTCCGCCCATGCTAGTTTCCAAAGCACTGAAACTACAGAATACTTGCTATTTCTTTTTCTGACACAGCTTCAGCCACTGTTGTATTGAAACGTTTGTTAATGTCTTCGTGTGAAACTAGATCTGTAAAGCAGTTCATGGGCTTATTTTTTTTCTTAAGTCTCTGTTTTTTGGAGGTAGCACCCTAAGGCACTGAATGTAGAAGTGTTCTGGGAGTTATAAAGTAGTTGTTCCCAGCTCAAAGCACACGTTTTGCATACTGAAGGCCCCAGGTTTCACTCCTAGCAAGTCAAGTTAGTAGGATCAAGTACCAGGTGATGACTGAGAAAGACCCTTTGCTCAAACACCTAGAGTGAGTGAGTCACAAGCTAAAGATGTGCCTTCTTTTATTTAGTTAGAATACCAGCTCCCAGAATTCTCCAAGACTTTTCCAAGCAGAAGCCTACAAGTTCCACCCCACAGACCTACATCTACAGACACCCACATTTTACTCATCTTGACCAGAGCCCATCTCTGAGGCTATCAAGAGTTGTTTCCCATTGTCAAAGTATCAAAATAAATAAATAAATAAATAAACAGGAAACCACCACAGTGCTTTCTAGCCTTTGTAACCTCACTGCCCTTTAGGCTGCACAGAGGGCACCTCTCAAAGAACTATGTCTCCCAGGAAGCACAATATCAAGAGTTGTTTCCCATTGTCAAAGTACCAAAAAAAAAAAAAAATTAAACAGGAAACCACCATAGTGCTTTCTGGCCTTTGTAACCTCACTGCACTTGAGGCTGCATAGAGGGCACCTCTCAAAGAACTATGACTCCCAGGAAGCACAATAGAAGCTTCTTCTTCTTTTTCTTGTACATTAGCAACAGAAAGCAAGGCCCAACACAGCCATGCACTGTTAAGACACAGAGCAAATTTTAAGCGTCTATTCTTCTTCTTCTTCTTCTTCTTGTACATTAGCAACAGGAAGCAAGGCCCAACACAGCCATGCACTGTAAGACACAGAGCAAATTTTAAGTGTCTGTAGGTATGCAGCTAAGAGCTGGAATGCCCAGAATTCTGCCTGAGGGATTTTTAGTTAATTCTTGTAGATGGAGTTAAAAAAAATAAACAAATGGCACATCCCTAGTTGCAACCCGAGTAGAAATTCCTAGGCTAGATGTTTAAATCTCATTGGCATTAATCCACCTTGTGTGTTTCTAGTTATATATCAGCAGTTTGCATTTCACTAGCAATTCTCCACAGGTCACAGTCTTTTCGTCTTAATCGAAGCCACTGAGCCGAACAATCCCATGAGCATCTGTTGGTGATTTGCTGGTGCTGTGCTTAATTACCTGGCTGGCTTTTTAAAAATGACACAGTGTCAGCAAGTCCAAGTTGAAGCCAACTTGTACTGCTTGTGCAAAGAAGGAACGGAGTGCTTGCTTTGTCAAGGTTAAGTTGTTCTTGCAAGAAGAGCCAGAGGTGCAAAGATGTGTGCCATGATAATGGCTTTTTAAAAGATGGCCTTTAAAACTGTGCTTTGCTTAGTATGAATTCCCATATTTACAAAATACATGTTTAAAAAAACTTGATGAAAGGCTTCCTTTTATTTAATTCTCTTAAATATTAACCTGGATGCAGATATTAGTTCCAAACACAGAGTTTACTTATAATATTCCAGTCATAACACAACACAGTAATGTGACTTAAGTATACTGTATGACCAGGACCTGGAATTCTTCCATTTGTAACAGTTCCTAAACTTGAGAAATAATTTTTTGTCTTCTGAGGCATGTTTTCTAAATCTGTAACATAGACAAGGGGTGGAGAACATGTGACCTGCTCCATGTAGCTTTAATGTAGGGTTGCCAGGTGAGCAATGTCCTATTCCCTAAGATCTCAGGGCCAAAATGTAAGACCAGGAGGGGAAGGCCTTTTGATGTCACAGGGACAGGTCCTTATGTAAGATGCGTGTGTCTGCATGTGCATGAGAGAATGAGACAGACCATGTGGATTTCCTGTGCTACTGCTTAAATAAATATTATGAGTGCAGCCAAGGGCATCCATGGGAATTTTTCCGAAGTAGACAAAACTGCATAGTGGCACGTTAGCATAATTCACATGCATAATTCAGTCTGCCACAGCACAGCACGTCTGTCTGTGTGCATAAAAGAATAAATGAATGTTGAGTGCCAGGTGCATGTATGCTCTTGCTTCCCTACCCTCCTCTGTGGACATCCATGTACGTAATAGATATATAAATATTATCATGCTGACCTATAGTCCTCGCACTAGTTGGAAATAGGAAGGAGATGAGAGGCCAGGCATAAAAGGCACCACAGAAAGTAAAATCAAACCTCCTGGGATCTGAGACCTGGGGAGGCCCAGCAGTTCCTTGCTGGTGACATGAAACCTAGCAGCTCTAAATCATCCCTCACCATTGGGTATACTAACTAATGATGATGGGATTTGCAGTACAGTATTAGGTCTGGAAAGGCTGGTCTTCCCCAGCTCTGACACAGAAAGCATTATCTTGACTACAGCTTTAGCACTGCTGAGCCACATGTATTTTTAACTGGCTTTAATGATCTCTCCCAGGGATAATGAGGAAACTTTTGTAAGAGCAAATTAGAGATGATAGGCCACCTTGTGTTATAAGTAGTAGGATTGTGTGTTCCTAGTTTGCTTTAAGAACAAATGACACTGTTTGGGACTCTCTCTCAGTTGGTTTTCACTGGCCAATCAGGAATAATGGGTTTCTGGCTTGCAGCGATTAGAGACATTTAATTATCTCTTATTTACCATATATCCTTCACATTGGGGACAAATACAAGTCCAGCCCTTGGGCAGAAATTAGTGGAGAAGATCATCAAGGAAATGAAATGTTCTGGCACATGGAAGTGAACAAAGATAGTAACATACTGTACAGAACAGATCTGCTAACAAAAGCCTTGCACAAAAGGTACTTTTCTTTGGCTAGAATGACTTTAGCAAGTTCTGGACTCTAGAAATCTCTAGTATCTAGAGATTCTTTCACTAAACGAGGGTTATGAAAGATATCCCACATACTATACTGAAGGCCAGGTTAAGGCATGGCCAACATTTGTAAAAAATTGTTTTGTGTTTTTGGACTAGAATTCCCAGTCCCCCTGCATCTTGCATAGCCAGCTTGCTGAAACAAATTGAAACATAAAAGAAATGGAAATTGTGGAAGCTTTTGTAAAGCTGCCTGTAATGCTCAGCCATATTTAAATGTACTGTTTATATGGTTTGGTAAGGATGAGATATTCCCTGGAAAAGACCCTGATGTTGGGAAAGTGTGAAGGCAAGAGGAGAAGGGGATGACAGAGGACGAGATGGTTGGACAGTGTCATCGAAGCCACCAACATGAATTTGACCCAACTCTGGGAGGCAGTGGAAGACAGGAGGGCCTGGCGTGCTCTAGTCCATGGAGTCATGAAGCGTCGGACATAACTTAGTGACTAAACAAGAAGAAGAAGAAGAAGTATGAGATGGGAGGGAGTGAAAAGCACAAAATGTTTCTGATTGGCTGGGAGAGAAACTAGATAAGGGAGGAATGTCTTTGTGTCAGAGTAGAGATGAGTCTGATGTAGAAGGAGAGGGTGGGTTTGTATGTGATTTGAGAGAGAAGTCTGAGAAAGAGACTGCAGTATAATAGTGTTAGGATTATGCTGAAAGAATTTAAAGCCTAGGAATGAGTAGTGCTTTTGCTAACACTGTTATTTTGATAAAATAACTGTGTTAGCAAAATAATGTTTTCTATTCAAGCAGAGGGGTGCTGTGTTCAATACCTGAGGGCTATGTGAAGTGTGTTATAAGGGTCTGAGTGAAAGGTTAGATACACACACACATGTAGGGGCAGCTAAAGGTTAGTGGCAGCAGAAGAGAAAGAAAAAAAATGAGAACCATTAAAGAAAACACATTTTTTCCTGCGGTGATTTAATCTTTCCTTCCATAGTCAAGTGACAAGATAAAAGGCAATTTGACATCAGTAAAGGGAGAAGGGGCATGACACTCCCCAACCGCAATTTCTCTCAATGTGCATGGCTAAGTTGTTTCCCAAATCTAGTCCCATATAATTATAATTGAGCTATTTCATATGCTTTTCTAAGTACCACACAGATCATAAAGGATAAGACCTATCTACAGGTACATTTTCAAATATTCAAGACAGAGAAGAAAAAGGGAGTGGGAATGGAAAAGCGAAGCAAACATTTGAGCAACTTTTATCTTCACTCATCAGAAGCGAGTTATTACCTTGAGTTGAAGGTGTTGTGAAACCAAAGGAAAATGTGCATAAAAAGAAGTGCTCGCATGCCTGTAATAAATAGTCTCTGTCTTGTACTTTTGAGTGTTTTGGTGCTAAAAACAGTCCTTTAACCACAAAAGGGATTTCTCTCTCCCCACCTCCTGCCCTTTTAAAGCTTCAGGGAACAGTCAGGCTTTCTGTTTGGTATAGTAACAGTTCCAAAAGTTGCCATGGAAATAGCCCAGGCTCATCGCCTTCTCTGTTGGGTTCAGGCTCCTCCATACCAAAGACAGATGGGCAAGATGTTTCAAAGAGTGGATTAGAAGAGAGATAAGTTGGAAAGTTCCTTCAGATCCTGATTTCAGAGTTGAAAAGGTCTTAGGAGAGGTAGCCAAGTTTATCCATTTCAGCAACAACAAGAACACAGGAACGTTTCTACGTGAGCTTTTGTGGATTACACTCCATTTCTTCAGACACATGGTACACAACATCTAGGCCACAAGTTTATGTGCATAATTTACATGGTGTGGTGATGGGGATGAAAGGGTTTAAATGAGTTACATATACAGTAGATGAAGAATCTTTTGAATGCCACATGTGTCCAGGGTTCCATGCAGAACTGACATGCAGGCCTAAACTTTGAGGGAGATTGTTTCACCAATCTGAAACTGAAGGGACTGGGTTCAAGTTCCATGGATATAAAGTAGAATTCTGACTCTTTTTACTCAGTTCTGCATTTCATATTGCTGTGACATTTGTCTGTCTGACCGCAAAAAGAGTATGAAAACCATATGAAAGATAAGGGCTGATGGATTTTGGGAGGAGTTATCTTAAAAAAGCACATTTCCAAGCTGTGAGGTTGGGGTGGTAATATCTTTTTTCAGGTATTTCTGCCATTTCACCAATGGTATTCTGACCATTTTTTATTCCTAAATCAAACAAAACCCACTGTTGTTAAGTACATATGACTAGAAATACAGGCAGACCTCTACACAATGTGCATCCACTGTGTCCCTTTAAATATATATAAATGTTGATCTTTTCTACATATTTAACATATCCAAATCATTCCTTTGCACAAAAATAACTACAAACTAATAATGTTAATTTGTTTCAACAAGTGGAAAACTGAACAACTAACTCCTGTAACTTTTGAAAGCTCTGTTACAGTAGGGCCATACAAGATCTCTTTACCAATGCCTCCTTTAATCACAAATCCTGATAAAAAGTAACATCTCTTTGGAAAGTTCTGCTAGTTCTTGTGTTTGTTCCACAGAAGAAGACATTGCAGCACACAGACTCACTTGCTTTGGCAGCTCTCTGCATGTACTTGTGGATGCCTGAGATGGTTATATTTATGCATTTACAGTGACTTCTTAGTTTACATCTGGTTTGATATTGTTATTCCTATGTATCAATGTGAACACCAGGATGCTACGGGGCAACCAGTTAATGTTATGTTGAGCAAATGGGACACTGTTAGAAAGTAGCCTCTAGCTTGCATGAGAAAAAGAGTTCGAACAAATGTGGCATGTCTGGTTTTATATTCTTTGTATGGTTTTCAGAGTGAAGTAGGTAAAATTTAGGGATATGAGGGGAAGATTATCACACTGCCAACCCCCTCATAGGCAACAGCTTTTGAGTTCTTTAGTCACCTGATTTGTGAACTTTGAAGATGCTTCCTTGGCTTCTCTTCTCTCCCTAGAAAAATCCTACATACCTTAATTTTTTGGGCTTGGCATATCTTCACAGCTAATTGAGGTGAAAGAATTCAAATTAAGATATACATGTTTCCACCCAGCAGAGCTATTTATCACACATTTGTGATGAAAATGTACGAACTTCAACTGCATACCTGTATTCTGCTGTCACATACATTCCTGCTGCTCGAAGGGTACTTCTCAAGTGTTTTCTTTTAAAACAGCAATAGGATATTTTGATACCTTACCAAAGTTCATTGAGAAAGTAATCAAGCTAATAAGGTATGGTACTGTCCACCCACTGCTGGCCCCTTTAATCTCGGATGGCAAAGCAGCATGCTATATTTCAAGAATCTGCAGACTCTGTAGATTTGCAGGATCTTGTTCACCTTCCTCTGGAACCATATGTTGTGGTCTCTGGAGCCAAGTGCAAAGAAAGTTCAGAAACCTGGACAAAATTGAAGAACAAGGTGTCTCTGAGCACATACTTAACCCAGGAGTTTATTTTCAGCACCAGAGCTATATTTCCACAGAGGTCCTTTCAAACCCAATTCTGTTTCTCTGTTCCCAGAAGCTTTCTTGATTTTAGCAATTTAATTTCAGCTGGGGCAAAGGCTTGGTACTTTTTATTACTTGTTAAACCACTGGAAACATGGCCTAAATATATATCCATATTTACCTTTGGCTAATAAGTGCTATATGGACAGAAACTGGTGATTGCCTACATCTAGGGTTGTCATGTTAGCAGCATCTCATTCCCTGCAATTTCAGGACCAAAACATTAGATCAGGAGTCACAGCCTTGTGATTTTACAGAAGTGGCAAAAGGAAGGTTTTGGGAGAGAGGAGGGTGGTTCTCCCCCATACCTTTCTGTGCCATTGCTGTCAGGGCCTATGCATCAAGAAGGCTCATGAGTCATGACACTGGCATCCCACTCCCTGTCTTGTCCAAATGGCATGACCGATCCAATGGCGATGTGCTAAAAAGCAAGAGCAAGAGAGGGGGAATGAGCAGAACGCCATTGGGTGAATACAGTGGTGTCTGTGGTATCAATTGGGGCAATACACACACAAAGAGGTATCTTTACCTTGAACTGATGAGCCCTGATGTCAGCTGGGAGTAGATGGATGGCAGCATTTAAAAGTTCACTTCTCTCTTTCTCCCTCCACAATAGAGTCTATTGATGCCACAAGAGTCTATGGGCTGCAGCCCACTTCTACAAAAATCAAACTATATCTTTCTTCACTGCTGTTTGCTCTGAGAATTGCCTGCCTGAAGAGGTGGAGAAACAACAGTTCTCTGAGACGTCAGATGACACCCCCACCCCAAGACCTGGCAACCCTATTTATGTCATGGATTGATGAGGTGCCCCAGATGTCATTGGGTTATAATTCCCAGCATTCTGTCTCTACGCTCTGCAAGCTATGGCTGATGGAATTTGCAGTCCAATAATATCTGGAGGGGTGCATTTTACCCATCCCTAGTGCTTATGCAAAACAGTTTTGTTTTTAAATGCAAACCTAAGCTTTGGAAGGTTTTAACTGCCATCTGAATGTAGATAAGAGAATGTGAAAAACAAAAACAAACAAACCCAATAGCTTTAGGATATCTGTTTGAAGAAAATTCTGTTATGGGTTCTGGTAACAGTGTTTTGACCTTCAGTTTCTTCCTACCATTATAACTGCCTAAACAAAAGCAGTGAGGAGTACTGGCACTTATATGCCAGGTGAGGAGCCAACATTTATTTGCAAGATTGTCCGCTGTGCATTTCCACCCTAGTGATATTTCAAAACTTCAGTTTAGCCACAGCTCTAGTCACTGGGCAATTTAATGTGTGTAAATATTCACGAAACAGGAATAGCTACTGATGTAAACAGGAGCACACTGCTACCAAATACTTTGTTTGGGAAACCTTGCCAGTAATAAATAATAAACCAAAGTTTCACTGATAACAAGATGATACCAAGAGATACCTTTAACATTCAACATAATTAGATAAATCACAGTGAGTGAACTGTATGGGAGGAAGGCTCCCCATTTTTTTTAAATTATGAGATATTTAGCTTATATAAAAATAAGCTGGATGTGCAACAACGGTATGATTGAGAGAGGATAGAATGCAACAAATAAAATCATCTTTATTGCATCCAAAATCAAAGCAGATATGCATGAAGATTCTCAGCTTCAAATTTTCAAAATCCAGCCTCTAATATAGTTTGAACTCATCTTTGTTTTCCCTTCCATGTGTCATTTGATGGCTTCATCATATTAAAAGATTTGGGACCATCCCTGTTTCTGACCTTCTGCTGTCAGGGAACTAGAGAAAGGTTTGTTCTTGCTCTTCAGAAAGCCATCATCTGTTCCTAACCATGGGCAACTCTCTCCTTCCTGTGTTTCATTGTCCCTTCACCATTACTGACAGGATTCCTTCCCTTGCCCTCTTATTGCCAGATGACCCATAAGAGAAGAGTTGCCTGGGTCCATGAAGAGCTATTTAACCTATTTTCATTTAGGGGTCTCTTTGGCCACAGAGTAGCTCTTTGGTGGTTTCTTTTCCCTTAATAGGCTTAGCTTTCCTCCATTGTGCCTGATCACTGGGCAGAAATGCAGAATTCACTATCAAACTATCCCTTCTGACTGGTTCATGTGTATTTTCTACACCCACCCCTTCTTTCCTTCCTTCTCCTTTCCTTTGATGACAGATCTGGAAACAAACCTGTGCAGAGGGATGGGCAGTGCTGGCCAAGGCCTGACTATTCTGCCCCACAGCCGAGTCAACCTTCAGGATCCTGTACTATACTCTGGCCTGGAGAAGCTACCTGTTGTTGCCCAAGACCCTGACAGCCAGAGCTGGAAGTCCCTCGACAGGCCGAGCCCTCCTGGCACACCTGAGCAAAACCTACCCGCTTTCTGCCTCCAGTACTTTGACATGCTATACCCAAACGAAAGCAACTGGGTCCCAAAGGGTCTGGGAGAAAGTCAACAACCCAACAGCCAAGGGGGCAGGACAGAAGTACCCAAAGAACCTGAGCAGTGTCCTATCATTGACAGTCAAGGTCTGAGCCTTACACCTGATATGGACTACCAGGCCAGCCTTCACCTGGAGGAGCACTCTCTGGAGCAGGTGCAGACTATGGTAGTGGGGGAAGTACTCAAGGATATTGAAACAGCTTGCAAACTTCTCAATATTTCTGCAGGTGAGTATTCCAACATGTTTTTTTTTTCTTTTACTGTTGTGGCACTGTTTGTGGGAGACCTTAGCCCAAAAAAGGGAAGTGTTACATTTATAAGACAACTATGTGACTACTCAGCTGATTTTAGAGATGGGAACAAAGTTCAGCACGGCCATTGGGAATCCAAGAAATTAACTTATCCCTTCTTAGACTAATTTGTGGGCAGTGATGAAAATTTACTGCTAAACAATATTGTTTGTCCGCTGCTGGATAAACTTTTTATGCTGCCACATTCAACCAAGCCATTTGTATGGGTACAGTGCCTCTGGCAGGTACAATTCTATGAATCTATAGATTGTGCGTTACTGATGCACTGTTATGAACAGCAGTGTCCCAGTTCAAACTTTACTGAAGGAAAATCAGTTCAAACTTTACTGAAGTTAGTGATGAAGATGTACTGAACAAGTTCTTGACCACCCTTTTGCTTTTAATCTCCGTTATGTCTGTGATATGAGGCTTCATATTATATCATGCAGAAGAGAGATACATTTTAGGAGTATGACTTGCGTGGTATCTTGTCTTCTATGTTAAAAGCCTATCTGAAATCAGTGAAGGTCTGCCTATTGACTCTAATAGTTTTCAGTCTTGCCACTTGGCCCATGGAACAGGGTACAGAATATGGCAGGTGAAAGCAGCTATTTGGTTGACATTATTATAAAGACTAAGAGTTGTGATCTAAAATTTTCTGTGATCACAAAGCCCATATCCTGAAGATTATACAGTATTTCCTTCATTCAATGGATTTATAGATGTAGGATTAAATAAAATCTGTGGTTCAAACTACACATTATGGATAGGAACTGTAACTGGTATTATATTTGTGTTCCAGGCCTTCGTGCCTGAACAATCACACCTTTAAACAAACCTCAGTATTTATTTTCTGTCACCTAATCACAATGTAAAGGAAGCTAATCTGTGAACTCTGGGAAGTATGAGAAAACCCTCATGGACCAATGAGACATGTTTCAGCATATAAGAAATTCTTGCTTTTAATGAATGCATAGAGGATTTGAGACTGAGATGGGGGGACCCCCTGGAATTTTGGGGCACAACTCCCCCCTCCCCCGTTGTGATGCACGAGACACCACTGCTATAGTCTGGCCCTGTAGCTACTTGACAGGGGCTAGATTCAATCGATAGGGTGCATTCCAGTTCTGCAGTTCTAAGATTATTATTATTGTGTTACATTTGGTAAATTAGTAGAATATCTATATATATACACACTGTACCCTGTTTCCCTGAAAATAAGACCTAACCTGAAAATAAGCCCTAGTAGGATTTTTCGGAATGCTCATAATATAAGCTCAACCTCAAAAATGAACCCCACTTAAGTGAAACCTCGCTTTCAACCATTGTGCTGCACCCAGAAGATGACATTACTGTATTTGAATAAATGTAGATCGTTGTACATAAAAAAATTAAAACCTCCCCTGAAAATAAGCCCTAATGTGGTTTTTGGAGCAAAAATAAATATAAGCCCCTGTCTTATTTTCGGGGAAACAGATATTTTCTGATGTTGAGCTTCAGACCATTTTTTGCTCCCTCCTCTTTTACCCTCATTATGAGGTTCTTTAATTTCGCCTCACTTTCTGCCATCAGAGTGGTATCATCTGCATATTTGAGGTTGTTGATATTTCTTCTAACAATCTTAATTCCGGCTTGGGATTCATCCAATACTGCCTTTGCATGATGTATTCTGCCTATAAGTTAAATAAGCAGGGAGACAATATACAGCCTTGTCATACTCCTTTCCCAATTTTGAACCAATCAGTTGTTTCATATCC